GGAAAAAGAAGAAGAAGAAGTGTCCTACTCCTCGTCCAGCATGCTCATGGGTGCACTTTAGGTACAATAACTCTTTAAACAAGGATTTCTTGAGTGTGTACATATCTATGTTTAATTGTTGAATTCCTTGTCCAGCTGCTTGCTCATGTTTGGTTCAATGTTACAGTCGCGAGTTTATTAAGGAGTACAGTGCTTCACATCCTGAATCTTCTGGTCTGAAAGTTGTGAGCCTCTTGTTTCCCCTGCAAAATTGGTAGACAATTGCTAATAATGTAATTTTGAAGGGAAAACTAGACATGGTGGCATTTTGAATTACAGGCCACAAAGGCAGCATCAGATGCCTGGAAGTCAATGAGCTTGGAGGAGAAAGCAAAATATACAAAGCGTGCTCGTGAAGTGTGGGATAGTTACTTGAGCACTGCTCCTGCTCGTACCCCCAAGCCAAGGAAACAGGTTCAGACCTAGACTTGACTTGCATTATTTATGCATATTTTATACCAGACGAATCTTACGGCTAACAAATACAGACCAAACTAGTTACGAGATGCTCTCCAGGCCGTTTGTTTAATGTGCTACAACAGCTCTCACCAGAACAAAAGGCTGCTGTGAAAAGCATGGGATTTGGCAGTCTTCTTGGCCTTAGATGTCGGACCCTACGCCGCAGCTTGTGCCTTTGGCTATTGGAGAGGTTCAACACTGCAGGATGCAGCTTGGAGATTTGTGGCGTGCGCATTCCTTTGTCCCCAAGAGATGTGGAGATTGTGTTGGGATTAGCAGCTAGCGGGAAAGATGTGATCAACTCAGGGCCTGATGACTTAATTTTCGACTTACGTCGCAGCTATAATGCTACAAACCGTGGAATTTCAGTGCGTCTCCTAGAAGAGAGGCTGACGGCTCCAGAAGCTGGAGAAGATTTTAAGAGATCATTTGTCCTCTATGCATTGGGAACTCTTTTATCCCCAACAGCAAGGCTGGACGTTAGCCCTTCATTTCTCCATTTCCTGACAAATATGGATGTTGTTCATCAATATAATTGGGGAAAGTTCTTGCTTGATCGTCTAGTACGGGAAGCATCTCGCTTTCACCAAGGGAAGCAACATGCAGTTGGTGGCTGTCTTTTGTTTCTCCAGGTGAATTTATATTATTTTAAGCTTCCACTCATGTTCTAAATTTCATATACATCACAACTGATCCCTGAAGTTTACTCTTTTCAGCTCTTTTACTATGAGAGCATCTCTGTTGAGGGAGCCCGTGCTTCAAATTCTTCTGTTGTTCCTTGTTTGTCATCATGGGGTGAGGAAGAGATTTCTGAAAGAGAAAAACGACAAAGAGAGCTTGGTGGTTATGGTTTTGGAGAGGTAATTGATATTTATAACTTGTGCTCCTATGAAATAGATGGGAATTTGTCTAGCTTGCCGCTCCTGTGCAGGTTATTTGCAAAGAGAGGTGCACTGGCTTGGTGTTCTCAGAGTCCAGAGGCCAACTAGATGGTTCATCTGAAGGCAAAATAAGCAGTGGGGTTGATCATGATTCTGTCTTTGAGCAGCAAGCTGACCAGGTAGTCATTTTATGGCATACTTTGATAATGCTAGCGTTCATCATAATTAAATGACAGAAAGTTTTATATTAATTGGTAATTCTGTCTTCAAAATGTTGGGTTAGTGGAAAAGTCAATGGTGTTTATCTGAATGACATGTAATGCTTATCTTACTTGTTGAGAATGTTAGTCTTGCACTTATTTGACTCAAGCATACCTGTAAAGAAATTGTCAGAAAAGGTGTGGATAGTTTTATGCAGGATACTTACTTGTGATCTCTGTTGTAGGCTGGCAAAGAAATAATCGACGGGAATATTTATGTGGAAGAGGTACTCAATTTCTCTTTCCCCTATTCGTTCTCACTGTTGCATTGTTGCTTCTCTGCTGTGTCTTTCCTTCTCACCAGCCTGTCTCTTGGTGGTTCCAAGGAGTAGGATATATGTTGCTACCTTGTATTAGCATGATAGCATCCCCAAAAATAGGGAATGCTTGTAGGTTACCCTGAACCTTGCCCTCCCTTAAACATGGCCTCAGCATATGATGATATCTTGTTGCTGATTGTTGGATTTTGCTTTTGATGGGTTATGACATTTGTTTCTAATGCTCAGTCCCTTTGGTGCTATGAAGTCTATGATGCCAAATTTGATGCAAGAATTTAAAAATTAAGCATGTGATAAATTGTCTAAGCTAGAAGCGAGTTGTATGTGTTTGCCATGCTTGAACTCAGTAGCATAGCTATCCTTGTGAAATTCTGGTGATAAGCTGCTAGGGAAGATAAATGGGCGATTTAAGTATTTACTTCATGATTTACTAAGAATATGTTAGAATGCCTGCAAACATGTATAAATTGATAATTATACTCTTTACTCTTTTTTCCAAAAAGGGAATCAATAACGACTAAAGAAACATATAGCCTTGCCCCTTGAGATTGATTAGTTTTCCAAAAGTAACTCTTGTGATAAACAACAGCTTTGGGATGAATTGAGGTTGGTATTAAGAGGTGTTAAACAACCAACTTTGGTATGTTTAATTGGAATTTCATCAAACCATAGGATGAGAAGAAAGTTTTTCCTTAGTTGTAGATAGAACTACTCTCTGGCTCTCTATTCAGAATGTGGCTTTCATATGGATCCTCCAAAGTGGAATCTACATTTTGATGGAAACATTTAAAAAAAAAAAAAAATTGAACTGTGTCAATAGATTGAACTTGCAATTGAATAGATTCCTTCCATAGGTTATGGGTCCTCAAGTATTCACCAGAATTGGAAAACTATGATTAAAATGAACTGGGAGTTGTTTTGAGGTTTGAAACTACAATGCAATATTGTGTATGTTTAGCAAATGTGAAGCTGCAGACGAATACACCCTTTATGGTTATTTAACTTTGTGGACATGTTTCTGCAGACAAATATGTCAAACCTTCTGACAAGTAATAATGAATTGTGCGGCGACATTGAGGTGGGTACTGAATCAGTTTCAACAATGTGCCAAAACAAAGAATATGACTGTAATGGAACACTGGATTACATAGATGATGATGATATCCATGAAGAAACATGCATCTTTTCACCCTGTGCGTGCCCTCTTCCAGACTGTAACTATGCTGGCTCGTCTGAACAATTGTCACTACACTTCAGCAGTAAACACTGGGACTGTGGAAGGCATTTTAGGTACAACATTCCTCTATCTGTCTCATTAGGGGTGAACGAAAGATTCCTTGTTCTTCAAGCAGAGGAAGATGGTGGTCTTTTTCTCCTCAGCAAGAGTATTGAGAGCATCGGGAATACAGTCATCGTAACCTGTATTGGACCAAGCTCATCAAAGGATAGGTTCTTATATGATCTAATAGCAGGTAGAGGCATCAGCTCTCTCAGATTAAAATCATTAACTGAGTACTTTCCCGGGAGGGTGGAAGGCCTACCTGCTGTAGACTTTCTTCTGATTCCATTCCCTTTCCTTAGTCCTTCTGGGCAGCTTGACTTGGAGGTTTGTATATGGAGTTCAACAGAACTAGGTGCAGATTGTCCCTAATGGTTAGAAACACATTCTAGATCATCATCATCATCATACTTGTAATGGTCTGAGAACATTTTATTCCTTGCTTAAAAAGTAATCAAAGAGTTGTAGAGTTTGTTTTCGTAATTGTGCTCGGAGATTCTGGAGGCTTATGTTCTCTCTTCCAACAAACCTGACCATGATCGACTATCCAAGTACAACCCCTTGAGTTTGTCAATCTAGTTTTGAAGAACAATCTACTTTCCAGTCTTCCTGGAGATTACCTTCCATCTAATCCAGTCTGTAACATCCGTTTGATTTGTGAAGAAAACATTTGCAGCCGATAAACCGGCCGGCCGGCCTGTCGTATTGCCAAGGAATTCATTCTGCATGTGTGGAGTCTAGATCAACGTGAAATTTGAAGAAGATGATGAGGCTTTTTTAGGTGATTAACGTTTGTTGCAAATAACTTCTGACATTACTCTTTCAAATAACAAACAGAACTGAGCTATGTGTTCCAAATTGTGGAGTATTCGTTTCTTATACAGGAAATAGTTGATGTGAATGGTCATGAAATTTATTTCTTACCCCAACAAACTAATGAAGGTTTAGCATTTTGGTTTGTAAAACCTAACGGGAATAAATAGTTCGATGCATTAACAATCAAAATACAAATGACTGATGATGATCCCCCTCCATTGATAGAGGGAAAAAAAAAAAGTATTTGGATGTTAACTAATTTGAAGTGTTGTTATAATTGATCAAATGTATATAATTACGTGACCATTTAAGTTCGAATTTAAGAAGAGATTGCGTGAGAAAATTATTGTAAATGTAGTTTGGTTTTGAAAAGAAGCCTAAACCTGAATAACTTCACTAATTTGGTTTCGAAAATACTTGAATTCTATATGCCAAAAAATAGCTTTACAAAGAGGAGAGGAAAGAAAAGAAAAGAAAAAAAAAAAAAAGAAGGCAGAACTGCACTCAATAACGAGTAAATTAATTCTTTTCGTTTTAAAAATAAATTATTTAGTTTCTATGTTTTTACATCTATTTATAACTTAATTTTGTTTAATTTATTCTGATTTTTTGTTTTAAGAAATAAATGAAGAAAAAATATGAAAAGATTGACAAGAAAATAAAATTATGGAATAAAAATGTACTAAATTAAATATAATTAATACTGATAAAAATTTTAAATAATAGTTTTTGATACAAGATGTACTAATTAATTGGTTTTTTGAAACTAAAGGTACTAATTTTGTCATTTACTCGTCAATAAGTCAAAAAATGGAAAGGCCCAAATTCAATTGGGCTAGGCCTGTTAAGGCAATAACCCACTGCAAGAATTTCACCCATGATGGCTTTAGCAATGAATGGATAACCAGCAGCGAAACACAGCAATAAAAGGCTTCTATAACCTCTGGAGAATAGCCGTTGAAGCAGTAGGAAAGACAGCGGAAAAGGCATGAATTCTTCATTAATGTTTCGCCGTTTCTTCTGTTTCAACTCAGCAGCAGCAGCAGCAGCTTCTACTTCTTCTAAGAAGAAACCCCTTGTTTTCTTGGGTTCTCCTCAGGTACTAAAAAGCACGCTTATTTCTTTATTTTTGTCTTTTTCATAATGGGAAGTGAAATGTGATTTTTTGGTTCTTTTTAGGTGGCTGCTACTGTTCTCGATACTCTTTTCAATGCATCTAAAGCACCCAATTCTGTCTTTGAGGTACTCCTTGTGTCGAAATTCAATCTTTTTGTTTCTTTTCAGTATTTTTAATTGTTTGTTTGTATCTGGGTTTTGGTTAAAAATGAGAAGCATGACATTTTTATATGAATTTGAGTTAATGGGATTTGCTTCTTTTAGAAGTTGTAAGTGGTGCGGTGTGGATTTTAGTAAATGAGTATGTTTTGTTTTTAGGTGGCAGCAATTGTTACACAGCCACCTGCAAAAAGAGGTAGGGGTAAAAAGTTAATGCCTTCACCAGTTGCTCAGTTTGCTCTTGATACAGGTTTCCCTTCTGATCTTATTTTCACACCTGAAAGGGCTGGAGAGGTAATTTTATTGGTTTCTGTTTGTGATTTTTTTTTTTTTTTTTTTTTTTTTTTTTTTTGCAATTTGCAAGCGGCAATTTTCTGTATTGGGTCATTTTGTTGCCTTTATTTGCTATTCTGCTTTACAATTCTGCAGCTTTTGTGGATGGCCCTGCAAATTTGCTATTTGATAGGTTTTGATCATCCAAAAGCTACACACATTGTTTCCTGCAATTAAATTGGGCTCATTAAAAAATTGCTCCTATTGATTTTTTTCATTTGAATCACCATGGAGGGGACTGCATTGCATTGACAGATGTTTATGATGCCAAACCAATTAGGAAAATCTTGAAGTTTTTCTTTGCTATTTAGTGTTTGTTTTTTTCAATTGACATCAGACTTATCTGATGCTGTTTTTGGAAAATGGGAATAAGTGAACTGTTATGTGCAGAGAATTCATTTACTTCTATTACTATGCAGGATTCATTTTTGTCCAATCTAAGGGCATTGCAGCCCGAACTTTGCATTACAGCTGCATATGGGAATATTTTGCCCAGCAAGTTTCTCAATATTCCACCATTGGGTTAGTGAGATATACTCTCTGCTTGTTTCTTTGTTCTTTCTGGAATCAACATCTCATGTTTGTCAGTTGGATGATAGTTTTTACTTCTTGGCTGCGATAATTCCATGATGAAAATTCATTTTGTTTATAGCATATTATAACTTGTGCAGATTTAATTGTCATTTTAACCATAGTGGAATATAGGTTATTCATTTCTTTGACCAACTGAATTTGCATATGCATGTTTTATTATAAGTTTGGGTGTGGGCATTGTATGGTTTAAAGAGCAGGCACAAGTCCTATTCAAGAGTAGCCATGTGATGCAAAAAATGTTAAGCTTAAGATTGTCTGTCCATTGTTTCTTTTTCTGTTTTTGTTGGTGCCAGTCTTGCTTACTTCCTTCACACTGGGATGTATCTCCTTTTGGTATCTTTTAATGCTCAAACATCTGAGAAAGAAAGGCAGTTGATAGCTATAACACATGCTAGAGAAGAAACACGGAAGCTAATGTTTGATCATCAGGTTATTTAGTTTCTTAACTGAACTTGGTTACTGGGCTGAGTGGGTTCTGCTTATGGGGGAAAAAAATAATCGTAGTCAAATGGATTTGGATTTTGGTCCTTAATTTAATCAGTAGCTTCAAGCTTTTCAGCCAGTGAAGAGGCTAGAGTCATTCAAATCACTAGCAAAAGCTAATGACACTCCATCTTTTGACACGAAGCAAGTGCCCAATTGCATAAATGCGATTCAATATTTGGCAGTGCACATATATGTTGGCCTCATTCTGTTGTTCAAGTGGATCACTAACCTAGTGAAGACAAAAATACCCCTTATGTCTGTTTTGGGTGGAGATGTTAATAAGGAGTAACTTTTTAATCTTGAATGATTAGTCAATTCAATGCCTTGTAACTTCTCACAGCCATCTGCACCTTCATTGTTTACTCTCTGAAACATAATTCCTTTGTTTGAAACTGAAAGTTTGCATAATTTTTATCTCTTTTTGCACATATAATAGATTCGTTTTTGAGAATGAAGAAGTACCTTATTTAAGAGCATGATTTAGTTGATGGTCAAAGACAGTAGTAATCTCTCCCCCTCTCATGCAGAACAGGAATTCGTGAAATAAGAAACACAAAGAAAACTAAAAATATGAAGAATATCTAATAGAAAGCAACTATTTGTGCTTGAGGAGAGAAGTGCCTTTGTTTTATAAAAACAATGATGGCTGGTGAAATCCGGAGGTAAAAAGTTCTCGCTGGAGAGGAATTGGTACAGTAAGATAGCAAATATTTTGAAAATCACAAATTTATTCTCACTTAAAATCTCCTTACAAAAAGGACATGAGGAACATTTTTGTCTTGAAAAGGGCACAATGCGAACATGTCCAATTATTCAGTAGGTTAGGAGTCCCTTTGTTAGTATATCTAACTTGATACAACTACAATCATATGTAAAACCTAAATTAATGGATGCTAAAGATCAAGCAGTAGCCTTGACCTTGAAGTCTGAAAGTTCATCCTCAAAGTTTCTCACCCCTGAATATAATTTTCTCAGGGACAGTCAATGTACACCCAAGTCTTCTGCCGCTTTACCGTGGTGCTGCTCCTGTTCAAAGAGCATTGCAGGTCCCTTATTTTTATAGGTCATCCATGTTAGTTGTGTCAAGAAAAATGACATATAACAAGAAAAAACAACAAGGATGAAGTTTCAAGAAGATATGAGCCATTGGATTGTGTTCTTAATATGGGACTCAATGGTGGGTCCCACTGATCTAATGGCTCATGTGTATTCTTGAAACTTATTCTTGTAAATATTTTTAGGAAATAGCATTACTCTTATATTAAATGCTTATTTACTCCAGACTATGCAATTGCATTTATGAGTCTCTGCATTAGGATGGTGCTAAAGAAACTGGAGTATCATTAGTGTTCACTGTTCGTGCTCTGGATGCTGGACCTGTCATTGCCTATGAAACTCTGGAAGTTGATGATCAAATTAAGGTATGGATGGTGCTTCAGGATCAGTTATTTCATATTTTTTTATCCCAATTAAATAACATGATGGATGGGCTAGAGCATTTAGTAGAAATATGCCTGCACCATTAAGAATCATAGCTAGGTAACTACATGGAGTCCATACACATTTCCTGTTGGCACTGCCCAATCATGGTCTATGGATAGATGTACGGTCCTAACTTCAGCATATTTGCATGAAGTAGCTACTGTCAAACCCATACACTTGCACTCTGTAGCTCAGGCCTCTACTGTGCTAGACTACAGTCACTAAAGAGTTTTACACCAATTTCCTCTTGACGTTTATCTTTGCTTGTGATATCGCATGCACCACTACTCTCACAAAGCAGGGGTGGAGATGCTGACTCCACTCTTTGCTTGTGATATCAGCTCATCCTTTCAAGAAACAGCTTAATGAATTAGAATTATTTTATGTTAATTTTTAACTTGATATGTATCTTCTTCCAGAGCATTTTATGACTCTCGTATATGCTTGCAGGCTCCAGATTTACTTGCATTGCTATTTTCAAAAGGTATTTCTAATCTCTAGTTTTTTTATATAATATTATTATCATGGTAACTACTTATTCATAGCTAATCTATCCATCTTATAATTGTAATTGAATATTCCTTTTTTCATTTCTTTCCTTTCCTCTTTCTTTCATTCATTCAAGTTAGGAATTATTCCAGACTCTGCATAAGTCAACTAAGTTTATGATGTAAAATAAATTTATTATATTTTATCCATCATGTATGATGTATTTTATGATAGTAACATGACAATAATAAGCAAGTTCTCCTTTTCTTCTTTGCTGCTAGCTATGTTGTCAAAATTTTATTTGTTGATTTATTTGTGCAAGACAAGTTAAGTTATGCATCATGAGCAAAAGTGATTTAATTTGATTTGAAGACATGAAAGATAAAGGGAAGACAAAAATGACACAGGTAAAGGAAAAAGAAAGATACAAACATTATTAACATAAGCACAATATAGTTTTAGGTAGTGCCAAATGGAGAAAAAGGATTTATCTTGCTTACCCTCACAGGTAAAATAAGGCCTCCTTGAGTTGATAACAAACCATTTTGTAGATATTTCTAGGTTTTAATCATGATTAGATCTGCAATAGCATTACCCAGTTGAATGATCACAATTGAACACGATTTTGAGTCAGGAAGTTCTGTTGATGAATGATCACAGGATCTAAACTTTTGGTTCATGAGCTCCCCTCTATATTTGATGGATCAGCCAGGTTAAAAGCTCAACCCCAAGATGATTCTAAAGCTACCTTGGCTCCAAAGGTTAGCACCCCACCATTTGTTTTGTTCTATGTTTGAATTCTTTTTGCTATGGCTAAATACAAAGTTAAAAGGATCAAATAGCAGTATGGAATTCTCCATCTGTAGTCTCTTGGCTGTGTGTAAGTTCTCTACTCTATGCAGATAACTGTTGAGGAGTCATGGTTATCCTTTGATCAAGAAGCTTTAGTCCTCCATAATAAGGTAAGCCCTGTCTTTTTCCTGCCTAAAATGAATGTGGTGATTACATGCAACCTTTTTAGGTTCGTGCATTTGCAGGGTGGCCAGGTACACGGGCTAAAGTAGCAATTGTTGATGATAAAGATGGTCACCACAATATTGTAGAATTTAAGGTTATCACTACAAGAGTTTCCCACCATAACATCATTCCGGGTGATGAAGAAGATGACATCACTTACATGAAGGATGCATTGGTGTTTCCATGTGCAAGGTTTACAGCACTTGAGGTCTGTCAGCTATCATGTCCCATCATGTTTATGCTGCTGATTTGCAATTTTTCCTTAAGATTATACTTCCTGCGTTTCCTCGGAAAAATGAGTGAGAAATGTGTTGAACAAATTTGTTGTTCCCTCTCGGGAAAAAAGAAAAAAAAAGGTCCTTAACAGTTGAAACATTGTTCAAGTGGGATGTGTATTATATTTGTCCAGATTAATGAACACATTCCCACTAGCCTTTTTGAGTTCCTGAGTTTGATGCTTTTGTAATCAACCAGGTATTGGAACTCCAGCTTCCAGGGAAAAAGGTTTTTAATGCAGCTGCCTTTTGGAATGGTTTGCGTGGTCAAAAGTTGAAGAAAATTTAATAGAGAAAACATTTAATCTGGACCGCTACACACTACATAAGCTGAGATTTCGACTAGAGGTAAAGCAAATTTCTTGATTTTTTCACCGCATAGCTGTTTTCTACATTTTAGTTATCCCATGCATTCTGCATTGATGTAAACCAAAAGTGATCTATTGATGTTTGTCGCAAAACCTTCCACTTTGTTCAGACAAGAGCTGTATTGCATCGTAGGCTAGTTTTCACTTTCTCAGAACCTTGCCTTTGAAGTATATTTCCGTTGTGCCATTTTAATTTGTGTATTTCAAGTTGAAGGTAGGCAATTGTTATTGTAACCTATAAGATGTGAATTCTGTGGGTCACATGACCCATTCGTCTTTGGCATATGTTCAATTGAATATATGATATTGGAAACTCAGATGGCTCTACTTTTCTTCTTCTTTAAAAACAAAATAAAAATAAAAATAAAATAAAATTGATAAAAGGTGGTTAAAAAAAGAGACACTAACAGCAGAAAAACAGGAAAATTTGAGGGCCGTTTGACTGTCCCATGATATAATTTATTCTTTCATATTTTATATTGGTACTTAATGTACAAGGCTATTGTTTTGAACGAAGTCACCAGAAAGTTTCCTTGTTATATTATTGTAGGGATAGAATCATTTAACAATTTATAAATGTGTCATTATTTCTAACCCTCTTCTTCAATGATCATATTGTCCCACATGTAATGATACATTTGTCCATTAACTTATTTGTGAAATTCAGTTAACCCTTTACATTGAATGGACAATTGATGCAAAGCAGAAACGGATCTTTGAGATTTAATCTCAAAGTTCTATGATTTGTTTATGGCAATCCACAGGACATAAAAGTACCTTGTACCTGTCCAAAAGAGCCATACTACAAAAGTACCAATCTGGTGTCATCTGTTATCTCATTGCAAAGAACGTTAGGCCAATTTTAATGTAATCAAATATGAGTGCATTATGGATGTTTGAATATGAATCTATTGCCCTTGTAAAGTAAGTGCATTATGAATGTTTCGGTACTGTGGATGAGATTGGCAAGTAGATCAACCAGAAGTCATTCAATGTATGTTAGTAGGAACCGATTTTCGAACTGATGCCAATTCTTCTAGTATTTTCTCTAGTCTTGAATGATGATCTGCATGTAGTTCATTGTACCAAAACAGATATGTTAAGGATGCAAATATGTTTATTTATGCAGATATGTAAAGGATGCAAACATGTTCTTCAGCTGTAGTGGAGTATTGATTGTATGGAAAAGGGGATAGGGATGCATCTTATCATTAACTAAAGAAACGGGGGAAAAAGGATATGGATGAACTTGACCTGAGCCATGGAAACTGAAAATGGTTCTCCTTTCATGTCATACATTTATTTTTGTTTTCAAAAGATGTTCAATGGCTTGAGATGCTTTGAGGTGGCGCCCTGAAGCACGAAGAAAGGTCCAATAATAAAGAGCATAGTATCTAACCCATGGCTATTGGGGCCCTTCCATGTTCAAACAGGAAATGTCAATGTTGGATGGTAATCCATGCATAACGAAGTTAGATTCTGTTTTTTGCCTATGGAATTGTTTGTAGAATGAGCTTTTTCCTTCACTTTCAAAAGTTGTTAAATAGTACAACAAACAAAGTAGTAAAAAATTCATACTGCTCAAGCTTTGGAGAAAATTTTACAATTTTTTTTTTATTATTTATATTGGGAGGTCCAATGAGTTTTGTACTACACAATAAAGGTAGTATTTCCATTCACATTTTAGTTTAGTAAAAAAAAAATATATTTTTTGTTACTCGGAATTATTTAACCGTCAGCTGTCTTTAATGAGTATAAATTAACCTCAAATACGAGATTAATTAAAGAGCTTGTAGTCTAGTCGATAGCAATCACTTACAACAAGATGTTACGAGTTCAAATCCTAATATGTTAGTTCTGTTAGGATTTTTGAGTAAGTAAAAAAAAAAAAACTTTAAATCGGAGATTTCAAGTTGTTCACATTTTTTGAACTAAAAATTGAGATTCGAATCCTGATTTTTTTTTGTTGGAAGGTAATTATACCTCAAGAATTTTTATTAAGAGGACGGTGTTGAAAAATTAATATAAAACATAATTGACGTGTCTAGATCATAAGAAATTTGAAGTCCAAATATAGTCATTCTCAAGTAAAGTACGGATTTTGTTTTACAAAGATAGCTTTATTTGCATGCTAATTCCTGGCAATTGGTTAACCATATTAATATCTCTTATTCTGATCACACTCCATTATTTGTATATTCAAGCTATCTAAATGGGTTTAATACTTTTGTACATAAATATTCTTTTACTTTCGGTATTCAACTTAAACAACTAAATTTCACGCAAAAAATTTCAAAATTTTGAATGAAAGTCCAATTATCCTTTTGCTTTCTAACTTTTTTGCTGAATAATTATCAGAAAACATAGTTTTATTTATTTTTTATTTTTGGGTGTGTGAATAAGGATCCCATATAGTTCAAAACAATGTGGAATAAAACCCAGAAGAGCAAAAAATTCCTTCTGATATCTCAACCTCTGTGTAGAAGCAACCAATGATGGCATTATTGGGAATGATTTACTATAAGATAATTGGGAAAGCAAAGCCACACTCATTGAACAAAAAATGAAAGCTAACATAAAAGCACTTTACAATAATAATTTCTCATTCCATTAACCAAAATAGATTAAACAAATCAAGAACCCCAAAAGCATTGTCGCCCTTCATGATTTCTAAGCACTTTAGCTTGGTTTGTGGGCTCTTTTTTTTTTTTTTCCCTTTATTATTGTTATTTTTTAAAATATAATACTCTGTTCTCTAGACGGTGGTTGTTCACTCATCTTTCTGCTTATATACCAACAAGCAACTTCCTATATAAACACCCCAAAGCTCTCTCTCAGTCTATATCATAATTCGTATCCCTCTCTTTCTCTGTCTCTCTAGCTAGCTTGCTTTCTGAAAAACAGAGAAGCAAAAATGGGAGCTCTTGATTACCTCTCCAACTTTTGCACTGTCACCAGCACAAGAAGCAAACGAAAACCAATGCAGGTACACACTAGACCTAGCTAGCTACCAACCCCTTTTCCCTTCTCGTTTTTAATATTCCTTCTCTCTCTTTGTATGTGCATCTATAGTCTGTAAAAGAGATGTCAACCCTTTTCTCATTCTTTCTTTCTCTTGTTGTGAGGGGACCTTTTCTTTTTAAAAAGATGGCTTGTGTTTTGTTTCTCAGACAGTTGAGATCAAGGTGAAGATGGACTGTGATGGCTGTGAAAGGAGAGTCAAGAATGCTGTCAACTCCATGAAAGGTTTTGCTTTCTAGCTCTTCTTCTTGTTTTCTTCATTGAAGTTCGTTCACTCGAGGGAATCATGGGTCTTTACAACCTTGTAAGCAGAGAAAGCAATCACATAATGAAAAGGACATATCATATCAGCATTCTCAGTAAAACAAAAGCATCTTCTTTAGTTCTGACATCCACAATCATAAAAAATGGAAACAAATGAATCTGCTCTGAACCTTGAGAGAATCCATCTTTTTTTGGCTTAAAAGATTTTTTTTTTTTCAATTTTGACAAGTGACAATTCAAGCTACGTACGTACATAGCTTATGTTATGACATGATTAAAACCAAAGAATGTTTGTGTTCATGTACGTACACATGTACAGACAGAGGATTAGTGTCTTAGTGAATTAATAAAAAAAAAAAACACGAAGTATTCATAATTAATTTTGAAATACACACATACAGGTGTAAAGACAGTGGAAGTGAACAGAAAACAGAGCAGGGTGGTAGTTAGCGGATATGTTGATCCGAACAAAGTGTTAAAGAGAGTGAAAAGCACAGGGAAGAGAGCTGAATTTTGGCCATATATTCCTCAGCATCTGGTTTACTATCCTTACGTTTCTGGTGCCTATGACAAGAGGGCACCGGCTGGCTTTGTTCGCAATGTTGTGCAAGCTTATCCAGCATCAACTGCACCTGAAGACAACATTGCGTCTCTCTTTAGTGATGATAACGTCAATGCTTGTTCCATCATGTAAGGAGAATTATTGCTTTCATGGATTTGTGAAAAGCAATATCTATAATATATATATATATATAGATATATAAATATGGGTTGCTATCTTTTTTTAAAAGCAAGACCTCCTTGATATATGCATGTATGTACTATGTTCTAATTGGAAATGAAACAAACAAATGAGCATGTAATGTTTTCATTTGTGACTTTTTTTTTTCTTAATTTGTTCTTTCATGGTAATTAGGCTGCTTTTTCCATAAAAAGGCTGGATTATATAGGTTTTCTTTTTTCTTTTTTTTTAATCATGGGATTATATAGTGTAGGTAAATATCTGAAAGCTTTGTAGAACATATATAAGGATCTGAAAGATAGCCCATAAAGGGGGAAAAAAAATTGAAGAAAGCTCATTAAAAAAAAAGAAGGCTAAATAGTCCAAAATTCTTATAAATTTTAAGCAATTTGAGAATCCCCTCACAATTTTTATTTTCGAATTAGATCTCTTTCTAATTATTTTTTATTTGAAATTGAGTTTTTTTTTTATTAAGTTTTTATCCATTCTAACGATTGGTAATGTGTAGGTAGAGTACACACGTAACTTATATGTAGTTAATTTTTTAACTTCTCCAACTTTCATGTGTATGGCAAAACTTTTGGATGGTTTACTTTCTCATTCAATCTTATTTTATTTCTTTTATAATATTTTTTAAATTGTTTACTTTTTAGCATTTAGAAGAGAAGATAAGTTTTGAAAGGGAAAAAAATAATAAAATATCTATAAATTTTGACATGTTTTTAATTGTCGAGGAATTGTATTTATATGTTAGAATTAATGAAAACTTAATAAAATAGTTCAATTTCAAATGAGAAATAACTAAAAAAAATAACTCGAAATTAAAGTTGACAGACCTATTTTTAAATTATTTACAATTAAAAAAAAAATCAGAAGGATTTTTTTTTTTTAAGAAACCAAACAAGAAAAAAAAAAGAAGAAGAAGAAGAAGAAGAAGAAGAAGAAGAAGATAGCCGATAAAAAATTGTGTTTTGGCATCTTTAGTCAACTGAAGCTTGGAAGAGCATCGAAATTCTTATTTTGTAAGCAAGGAGGCAAAGGACAGCAGAAAGTAGAAATGATGAGAAAGTGTACGGAACCAAGGGCAGTGTATTCCCTTGCTTTTCTCCACCACCCCATCCTTCGCTTCACTACTGGAATCTAATTCATTTCCACCATGCCGATAAAATTGTTGATTCTATTATATCAATCATGTCATGTTTATTTTTTTTTATTTTTTTTTATTTTTTAACTTGATGGATCATATTATTACAATCAGAATTTTTTAATTCAATCTTGTTCAGAATTTTTATAATATACAAGTAGTCATTCAAAAAACATAATTATAAATTTGTTTAATTTTAACATAAAATTCAACATTTGATTTTAATTTAAAGATTAAGATTTTACAAAGACGAATTATTGTATTTTAAAAACCATAAAAAATATTTAAATTATATATATATAAGGCTTGCAGCACATATTAGTTATTAAACATGGAGAGTTTAATGTTAATACTTAATAGTTAACGGAGTAAAAAAATTATATTATCACAATGGACTAAATTGATTATCACTATAAAAAAAAATGAATTATTTTAATCTTCTTTTGTAATGAGATTTTTTTTTAATTTAAATAATCTAAATGAATGATTTGACTAATTTTTTGCAAATGTAAGAAATTCACTATCGTTATGCAAGTATTAGTTTTTAAAATTTCTAGTCCAAAGGAACAAAGCTTATTTATTTTAATTTCTGTTTCTACAATGAAAACAAGCTCTAAACGGAGTACAAAAAATGGGAAAAATAATGAGTAATAGTTGAGAATTGATTTGGTGGAGATCATATTCAAAGGAGAGACATGATCTATGATATTGGAGGGTTGAAGAATAAAGGTTGCCTATGGATACCCACAACAAAATATATTTGTGAATTATTGATAGTTGCTAATTAAAATAGTTAATAAATTAGATGGAATAACGCTATGTAAATGACACCGTTGATCCAAAATAGGATGGAATCGAAGCAAGCTATGTGACTGACAGTTGCTCCTTCATAACCACGCAATTCCTTTGGAGTTAAAAATATATTCATAAATTCTTCTTAATGGGAATTCCGTGGTTAGCAATTGGTCCATGCCTAGTGCATGTTCTTCAATCTTTTCTTTTTCTACATAGAGTTAAGCAAAAATTCTAGCCTAAAACCAGCAATGTTCTCTTTCGGTGGCATTGACCTTGATATGGAATTTCTAATTTTTTTGAGAAATGTTAAAAAAATCCATTTGGAAGTTGTGATTGTACATGTTAGTTTGCTATGTGTTTTAATGTAAGAAATTGGTTGGTAATATGTGTTATTAAAATGTTGTAACGTTATGACATAATTAAAAATTAAAAATCTTCACTTTCTAGTTTTTTACTTTTATTTTTTAAATGGCTTCTATAACAAGTTTTAAAATTTTACCGAAAGTCCTTTTTTTATTTTATTTTTTAATGAACTTGAAGAATAAGCTTCAAAAAGTAGCTACGAAGTTCAATTTTTTTTTATTCAATAATAAAAAATAGCCTCAAGTCATCATAACGCATCAATCAAGATTAAAATATAAAGTTTTAAAATGTCAACTTTTGAGCCATCAAGTTTTTAGTCCAATAATAAACGAATTGGTTTCTAAACGAATTTTTTATTGATATGAATAATTTGAATTTTAAAATTACTATTGTTGAAAATAATTAAACTCTGTTACTTCCGTTTTGAATATAATTAGTCTTAATTATCTTTAATGTAAAATGAAAATACCTAAAAAAAAAAAAACTTAAAAAAAAGGCCAACTTTTCCATCAACCAAAAGAAAAATGATCACATTTCCATAGATATCGCATCTCTTAATATTTATAACTCCAAATACTAAATAATCATGAGAAATTATATTTACCAACTATGGCCATTTTATAGAGCTACACGAAAATTTCTTCTTGGCCGAATTCCCTAAATTCAAATTCTTTGTTTTTCAACACAATCCCCCAAGTTATGGCTTTAATTTTAGTGGAATGACGTGGTCACATTATCCTTACAGAAGTTAGTGGTGATTATATTCATAAATCTATGCAGAGACAAAGACATGAACACATTCTTATCTAATTTTTTTCCTATTGATTGTGGTTACTGTGTTAGAAGACAGACGGCAAGAAAACAACCTTTTATCATGCTAATGATTTTATAATAATTACTGCCGTAGATATTTTTTCTAACTTTATACTATTCAACTCCATCATTAATCTATTACTATTAAGTTAATCAAATTAACAATAAATATAATCTCTTTGTCTAGCCGTTTAGCCGCTAAAGATCATAACATAATCTTAACGAAAGGACAGTAATTAGTAATTAATTAGCATTGTGCCTAATTAAGGAGATAGGGAGAATGATTTTTGGAAGCAACACCCGTGGTTTGGCCCAACTTTATATATATATATATAGAAAAAGAAGCTTCTGTATGGGAGGAAGGGACATTTTCAAGGCATTTTTTCAACATTGCTTTACCAATTTAATAAACATAAAATTGGATCCACTTAACCAATATTTATTATTTAATTTTATTGTGAATTATCATATCAATTAAAGTAATGTTTTTCTTGGGATTCTATCAAAAAGGAAAACGCTAAGGATCATGCAGCTCAGTTTTTTCTAAGAAGTCCCGGATTAGCTAGAGTTGCTTTTCAACAAATAAATAAATAAATAATGAAAAAGAAAACATCTTGTAATTAGTCGCTAAGGATTGGACTAACGTCAAGAATGGAAATTTATAGTTTAAGTGTCACCTCGTGATTAGTTCAATGCTGGATATTTCGTTGACCAAAAAGTCAAAATAATTGACTACAAGTAGTGGCAGATGTTAAGAGAAGGTTGGATACCCGCTTCGAGTTTTTTTTTTTTTTTTCCCAATTACTGTAATTTGTAAAATCTTATTTTTTCAAATAAGGTATTTTTGAATTTATTATCAAAATAAAGTATCTTATGTATTATAAGCATTATAATAATATAAAACATCGAAAAAGATATACTTTTAATGCCACATAAACACCATAATTATTTTAGACCTAGAATAAAGAAAAAAAGAAAAAAAATATTCAATGACTAATTATCAATTAACAGTATATATTTATTTATTTTTAGGGTTTTTTTACAAACAAACTCTGCTATCTTTTTGCTATATAGCAATGTAGAACGGAAATTCTAATTAACTTTATTGATAGATAAAATGTTAACAATTACCTTAATAACATAGATTAAGGGATGCAGGCGAGCATTGTTTGAATCCAAGAGGCAATATTGATACATTTAGAGCAGAGACATGATCATTATTTTGAATAAGTTAGGTAAAAGTTTTGCAAGAATTGGAGAAAACTTCAATATTTTAACATTAAATATCAACAAATATCGTGATTACAATAGGCTTCGCATTAATGAAACAGATTGCAATCAGCTTATTCATAATAGCATTTGTGCTTTTAAAGACAAGTATGATAGATTTAATTATGAGTTCAATTAATTTCATTTGGATATTGAAGTTGCAACTTTAAATAGAGATTTGAGTATCGAAGAATTTATGAATGGACTTGCTAATTGTGATAGAGCGATGGAATACTTTATATATTTTGAGAAAGAGATTGGGGAAGTTGGTTAAGATTAGCCTGAGAGAAAAAACTTTCTTACGATAGAAATAAGTCCAAGATATTTTGTTTGCAAAATATAGGATGTATGTTCTAAATTGGTTTCGTATGAGACAAGAGTTAAGAGACAGATTTATTTGGATGGATTGCAATGAAGAATTTATGAAGTGTAGAACTATTTTGGGGGTAACATATTTGAAAATTTATCTACAAAAAACAAGATCAATGCTCTTGAGTTTTTTAATAATTTAGAAATTAATTAAAAATCCTAATGACAATGAAATTGAGATTATAAAAGTCAACAACAT